TTCGGTTGATGTGGTTGATGTGTCGGTACTATTGTAGATACTATATGTACGTCTTTTTCTACGTTCGCCTAGAAGCCTACCATACATGGCGATTATTAAAGAAAATATTTATATAAATTATATATATATATATATATATATATATTATTCAAGCTTATTAATAAATTTCTATACGTATAACGTAACACGCGTATATTACATGCTTATTATCGGTTTGTGAATTCCCTAGAACATACATTTATACGTCATAGGAAAACCAAATGAACAAGCACTACGAAAACCTACATAACACAGAAACTATAATAACATTATACAGTTCTTTTTTGGAGCTGATTTAGCTGCTGCCAGCCGACAAATTTAATATTTCAAATTTCAACAATAGACATAAGTTGACAAGTCCCAAATTCCTGTAATTTCACCAGCTCTCTTAGCCTTCAAAATGGGAACGGAGTAATGCCATGAGCATTACATTATATCAATACACTACACTGACATTACTGCTTGGCGACTGAAATAGGTAAAATGACAGTACTTTCCTGGACGAACGCTTACACAAGGAGCTCTACTGCTACTAAAAGTATCTTTATACTTAAGCAGAGATTTATAAAACAAACTTTGACTTCGACTAAGCACAAATGACGGGCTAAGCAAGTAAGTTTCTCGTATTAACAAAACGAAGTTTGCCTAAGGTTAAGCAAGAAATTACAAAGTAAACTCCAAGTTCAATTTAATTTCTTGCTTAAACTTAAAAACGTAGGCAAAGTTTTGTAAATATGAAAAATTTGCTTAGATTGCCATCTTTGCTAAGTGTCCTTTTATTACGATTGCACCCTGTATATACCAACTACCAATGACCAATATAGTAACTGAAGTTTCATTCTCTTACATTCTATTATTTATGAGACGCAGTTGCACGGAAAGTTGATAACGTCAACGTCCCAAAGGACAAAGAGTAGATTAATTTTATTAGTTCTAATTTGCCATAGTCGAATGAGTTCAAGTTTACAGACGGTTAGTTCTTGTAATTTACTTAACGTTCGCTGGTAAAGGCGATGCACGACCTTGAAGGTGAATATAAAGCGGTGACTCATTATTAACATTTATTGTTTAGGAGCTGCACCCGTTTGCTCTGATATATTTTTTACGTAACATAGGTGAAACTGCCATGATGCTTCATTAAATGTTATTTTGTTGTTATTTTTAGCTTATTCTATTCATTATTGTTAGCAGTAGACAAGTATTATTACGTATCACCCACACGGAGCCGTAATTGTTAGACAATAACATAAAAAAATATTATTCACAGATTTTGTTACGTAATTCGTTGTCCTTCCGCATTTGTTATGTACGCGTATAATATTAACTTTTCCTCATATTATATAGATCTAAAAAATATCAAGAAGGTAATAACGTTTAGACACCAAATTTTATTACTTGCAGCTTTTTCCTGTGCATTAAACATTAAACAATTATTTACAAAATAATAACATACATAAAGCTAAAATTTAAAACTAATATATTATAAATTTTCTCACCGGAATACTGTAAAACACTGTCGTCAGACACGGTTGACTCCCACCCTGACAATGGCAGGCAGCTAGTATGCTATACGAATCGATTCATACGTTATATCTATTATTTATGTTCCGTTAGTTCAGCAATATTCTACTTCACGTACATGTAATTACCAAGCACACGGGTATATTAAACAACCTTGTGTTCTCAGGGGTGCAACTTAACGACCCATCGTCGCGTATACAATTAGTTTACTGTATACTATACTAACCAAATCGTATCCTTGGTATAGTAAAGCCAGATGTGATCATAGGTACGTCAAAAGTGCTTTGTCACTTTTCGTGCTCTGCTACACTCAAAAATATTCACAAATACAAAAAAGAAAATTATAATTTGACGTTACAATAAGTCATAAAAGTAAATAAACATATAGATTCACAGAGATTACTGCGCTGTGGAAATGCAATAAAAAAAGCGCTTGTGCACACAACCTTTCTCATAACAAAAATGTTACGTTCTAAGACTACGTGCAGTTTTAGTTCCGTGCCTTTTCCGCGTAGACGTTGGCGCCATATCATTTTCCCGCGTTAGTGGGTTAATGTATGGACCATTTTAGAGACGCGACGTAGCACTCAAATCGTTCGAAAGACGTTCATGATTGCCAAGGATCGCTAATAGTGGCGTTTCGTTACGTTTGTTGTATGCGTCTGGTTGAAAAAAAAATAGAGCGTAAACTTAAATTTAATAAACTAGAATTTTGGTCCGTGAGTTTGCTTAGATTGCAGAGCGTAAGAGCGTAAGATTGTAGAGCGTAAACATTTTTTTTTTCTCGCAATCGAAGTGAAAAGTAAAGTTTTCACCTCAGGACTAAAAGCCAATATAAACCCTCGGAGTAATAGATACTCTCTCTAAAGCTCGGGTGGCTAACCACGTCGGTTATATTTTGGTTCGTTTTAGTCCCTCGGTGAAAAAAATATACTTTTACTTATCATGCTCTTATAGTTCGTATTTATGCTGAGTGTAGGCTGCATAAAATAGAATTTTATGCTCTAGTGCATAAAATAAAATCGCCGTTTAATACCGAGGCAATGACGCCAACATCCACGCACACTAGAACTTTATAAAATAAAGTTTTACTTTTATTTTTTTAATCCGTATTATATGTCTAATTGTTGTAATTTTACAATCAATTTTCATTAAATAATCGTTTATTTGTAATATTGCTGTTTAATTTCCTCGTAATCGAAATGAAAAGCAGAGTGTATAACTCGTTCATAAAACCCATTTTATTCCACCCGAGCCGCAGGCGAGGCGATATACTCGTCTCAGGTAAAATGACGCGTTTTATGCACTTGTTGTACAATCTACTATTTTGAGGGTTAGATCTCGTTTCACCGGTTCTAGATAATATGTTACTGACTCAATTTCGCTAAAAATGTCGATTATATAATAATAATAATAATAATAATGAGGGCAGAAAAGTTGTCGAGTAATTACTTTATGTACTAAATCTATTAGTAATTTTGTGAGTAGAATCTTTAATTCTCTCTCCTGAAATGAGTTATTTCAATTTGAAAAACTATCCCTGACCAAAAGTAGAAATAGCTACTCCACTAGCAGCAGCACCTTAGGTAAGAAAAGCGACACAAAGAGCGATGAAGGTAAGTTTCAATTAACTTACCCGCCATAGAGGCGCTGCTCATTCTTCCACGAGAGAAATCAATTTTGAATGCCTTTATTAACAATTTGAAAACAACAAAATACTAAAATATTTTTCCTGTTATAACAATATTTCAAATAACGTCACAAATAATGATGTCATGTGTAAGCGTCAAAATTTTTTTTACTGAAACTTTCATGGTTTTTCCTATGTCAAACGTCGTGATGGCCGTATTCTAAATAATATTTCTTAGAAAAGCGAATTGCAATTTGAACGATAAAGTAAGTTCGTCAGATTTGACTATGGAATTAGATGCTGCCAATTTCAATTAAATTTCTTCGAAATTTACCTACAAAAATATGAATAACAGAAGTGAAACTGTACAACTCATAAAAATCAAACTATCCGCGTAGAACCTTTGTACTATTAAACTCATTTATCAGCGCGTAGACAATACTTTTTATTTTAAACAATTTAAAATCTATCTAAAGGGGCTGACCCCTTTAAGAAATATTTTTCCTTCTCCTATGTCCCATCTATCTCTATACTGTAAGGTTTTTCATTCACATACAATTTTATGGTGATAAAACTGAGCCTATATTATCGATTTCTCAGTAATCGATTTCGCACCTAGCGTTATTCACTAATGTTCCAATATTGAAATCGATAAGTAGCGTGGTTGTCTTTGTCTCGGAGTAGGGGTGAATTATGTTTTATAAACGATTGTAACGGAAGAATTCAGTCAGTTATTTTGAATCTTGTTTATTGTACAATACTCTAAGGCATTTTGTAAGATTT